TTTTTTTTTTTTTTTTTTTGTTTTTGTTTTTCGAGACAGGGTTTCTCTGTGTAGCCCTGGCTGTCCTGGAACTCACGCTGTAGACCAGGCTAGCCTCGAACTCTCGAACTCAGAAATCCGCCTGCCTCTGCCTCCCAAGTGCTGGGATTAAAGGCGTGCGCCACCACCGCCCGGCTTTTCTTTCTGTTTTTGAGACAGGGTTTCTCTGTGTAGTCCTGGCTGTCCTGGAACTCACTCTGTAGACCAGGCTGGCCTCAAACTCAGAAATCCGCCTGCCTCTGCCTCCCGAGTGCTGGGATTAAAGGCGTGCGCCACCACCGCCCGGCATTCACTGCCTTTCCTAACCTCCTCCCCCTAGCTCCTGGACCTATTCGATAGCGAAGACCCTCGAGAGCGGGACTTTCTCAAGACCATTTTGCATCGCATCTATGGCAAGTTTCTGGGGCTCCGGGCTTATATCCGTAGGCAGATCAACCACATCTTCTACAGGTGAGGCGCTGAGCCCAGGCTGGGGGACAGCACACCCTGCAGAGGTGGGGCGGGGACAGGAAGGCAGGGAGACTGCAGCATGCTGGAGGGTGGCGTCACGATGGCCTCTGCCCTTAGGTTCATCTATGAGACAGAGCATCACAACGGGATCGCAGAGCTCCTGGAGATCCTAGGCAGGTGAGTGGGGAATGCAGTGGCCACGCAAGATGGGGGCGGGCACACTGCGCTCTGTAACATTACGTAAGCCTTGATCCTAACGACGCCCCTTGATTTCAGCATCATCAATGGCTTTGCCTTGCCCCTTAAGGAAGAGCACAAGATGTTTCTCATCCGTGTCCTGCTTCCACTTCACAAAGTCAAGTCCCTGAGTGTATACCACCCTCAGGTGAGCATCAGAGGAGGGAGGGAGGAATTCCTGCACCGAGAGCAGCATCTTACTCGTCCCCAACCTTTGCAGCTGGCGTACTGTGTGGTGCAGTTCCTGGAGAAGGAGAGCAGCCTCACGGAGCCGGTAATCCCCTCATCACCCTCCGCCATCAGATGTGCGCCCGTCTCTACCTGTTTCCCCTCATCACCCTCCGCCATCAGACGTGCACCCTTCTCTACCTGTTGGGTTTGTGGTATTGGCCACACACAAATCTAGGCCCTTGTACATCTCAGGCTAGGGCTTTATCACCGAGCAACACCCTAGTTCCAGTCGGTAACTACTGAGTAATGCTGGAAGTGCATGCGATGTGGCTTTCTCTAAAGGGAAATAAAACCTATATCCTCAGGAAACAAGTCCAAGCCAGAGAAGCCGTGGGATTAGCTGAGGGTAGGCAAGGGGAAAGGCAACAGAAGGGCTTCCCAGAGAACTGAGCAGCTTAGGAATTTTATCCTCGTGTCATCTTCACAGGTGATTGTGGGACTTCTCAAGTTTTGGCCTAAGACACACAGCCCCAAGGAGGTGATGTTTCTGAATGAGCTAGAAGAGATTCTGGATGTCATTGAACCCTCGGAGTTCAGCAAAGTCATGGAGCCGCTCTTCCGCCAGCTTGCCAAGTGTGTCTCCAGCCCCCATTTCCAGGTAAGACCACAGTCACTGATTCCCAGATTTGGTAGAGCAGGTCTTGAGACCTGCGGGAGTGCCTGCTGAACCCCACTGTCCTGTCAGGTGGCAGAGCGAGCCCTCTACTACTGGAACAATGAGTACATCATGAGCCTGATCAGCGACAATGCTGCCCGTGTCCTCCCCATCATGTTCCCTGCACTCTACAGGAACTCCAAAAGCCACTGGAACAAGTAGGGGACTAGGGCTGCGCCGATGAGACCTGGGCATTCCATACTGTGGGGGTGTAGGACTCGAGGCATGGTTCTCACGTGGACGCCCGGCAAGCAGAGCTGGTACCCACCAAATACTACTAAGTGTAGGATCTCGAGGGGTTGACTGGCAAGAAAAGGTGCTAATGAGGCATCCTCGAAGTACCACACAGCTCTGGAGACACCCTAGGCTGGAGGGAACTGTGTGATCTGCTTAAAGAACACGAGTCTAACTTGTAAAAGGCTTTCCTGCTGAAAACAGACTCAGTGTGCCGCTGACAGTCCTCCATTTTACTAGGCCATGGAATGTGAGCCAAGGGAGAGTTAGGCATGTGGGGCCAGGATCTGTAAAGACCATCAATGCCCTCGGTGTGCAAGAGTTAGTCAAGAGCTAGCTGCTTCTACAGTGTGGAGGTCAGTGAACAGGAACAGTAGATGCTTCAGAGTGGCAGAGACACCAGGGAACAAGCAGACTGGGCTGGGACACTGATGGCGGGCTCTGGCCTTCTGAACACCGTCTTTCTCTGGGTGGCAGGACAATCCATGGACTGATCTACAATGCCCTGAAGCTCTTCATGGAAATGAACCAGAAGCTGTTCGACGATTGTACACAACAGTACAAGGCAGAAAAGCAGAAGTAAGTGTCTCTCTCCTGAGAGGATTGTCACCTCCTCCCTCCAGCTCACTGTCCCCAATCCCAATCCCCTGTCCCTCCCTTAGGGGCCGGTTCCGAATGAAGGAAAGAGAGGAGATGTGGCAGAAGATTGAGGAGCTGGCCCGGCTCAACCCCCAGGTGAGGGAGGCTTTGATGCCACCGCCCTGAGCTCGAGGGACAGGCTTTGAGGAAGAGTGAGGGAAGAGTGAGGCAAATAGGCCCACAAGAGGCTCAGAAGTGCTTCTCACTGTTTGTCCATCCCTTGCCCTCTCAGTACCCTATGTTTCGAGCTCCTCCACCACTGCCCCCTGTGTACTCCATGGAGACAGAGACACCCACAGCAGAGGACATCCAGCTTCTGAAGAGGACAGTGGAAACAGAGGCCGTGCAGGTGAGAGGGCACCAGGGGCAAGAGTCAGGCTGGGACAGCAATGATGGTTCTAGAGAGAGAGAGGAGACAGCCAGCAGAGACAGAGGAGGAAACTGAATCTCTTGGGAAGTGTGGTCTCCATTGCTGGTCTTCCCCCTGTCCGTACACAGATGCTGAAGGACATCAAGAAGGATAAAGTGCTGCTCCGGAGGAAGTCAGAGCTGCCACAGGATGTGTACACCATCAAGGCACTAGAGGCACACAAGCGGGCAGAAGAGTTTCTAACTGCCAGCCAGGAGGCTCTCTGACCCCCTCAGCTTCCCACGGGGTTTCAGCCCACTCAGACCTGGGATGCGGCCAGCCCTCCCCCCTCTGCTCCTTATTGGCTGACCTGGGGCAAAACAGCACCTCTCTGGCTACTCAAGAGGATGCAGGCACTGGAAGTGGGATGCCCAGAGTGCTCTCTCTTCTCCCCTAAATGTGTTCATGCCTCCCTGTGGCTAGTACAGACAGGCTGAGCACTGAGTGCTCAGTGCTTAGACAACCTGGGGGTGCCTGTCCCCCTGCTCCTAACCCCACAGCTACCTGAAACTGTTCTGAGAAATACAGGAATCACATGTTCCTCTCCTCTCCCCTTCATCCTCATCTCAAGTTGAGGTTTCTCTCCTCCCCCTGCAGGGTACAGCAGGAGATTGTCACCAAAGTCCTGTTAAGCTCCGTTGGTTCCTGGAGTGAAGAGCTGGAGGGGAACCAATCCCCAGTAGCACAAATAGGCCCCTAGCCCTGGCTCTGTGGGGGCAGGGGGTGGTGGTGTTTTTTTTTATGCCTAACCAAGACAGCACAGAGGACAAAGAGTATGTTACGGACACTAGATGTCGACAGGGCCCAGTGGGGAGAGTGAACCATCTGCCTTGCCCTCTCTGGCAAGCAGCAGTCCGGGAGCACACATTTGTATGGGACCACCCTGTGGCTGACTGCTTTCCCTGTGCTCTTGGTCCCCAGAGCTGTGACGGAGGAGGCAGGAGCAGTGCTCCAAGCATGGCTCCCTGCGACGCCTATTTATTTCCTGGTTTCTGCTGACGTGAGCAGACCCTCACCTGTACCCTCCGGGCGTTCAGAAACAAAGGACTGGGGAGGGCCAGACCAGGATTCAGGGGCACAGGCAGTGCGGCTTTTGGCTGTGTACATAGGGTGCTTTATTCTCCACAGAGTGATACATGCTAAGGTGGGCTGGGCTTGGGCCGATGTCCCCATATGTACAGAACTGAATAAAGTGGGTCTCTGAGAGGTCTGATTCGCCTTGGTGTGAGAGGGACGTGGGAAGAAGAAGGCTGTTAAAACCAGAGTTGTCAGTCCTGTGCTGGTCCTGGCTTGGAATGTAGGGAGACAAGGCAGCTCTCTGGTCACTTCCAGGCAGGGGACGCCTGCCGGGCTTGGAGGGCTTTCTGTACCACGTCTTCCCACTGAGCATCCGATATCTCCCGAGCCCAGGCAGGAACCCCTGGTGCAGGCAGGCTGACTCCAGCCATTGTCCTTTTCACCAGCTCTACGTGTTCTGAAATCATAGCCACAGGCTGGTTAGGGAGGGGGACGCTGGACCAGCTCCCCTCTGCCTCGTTAATCAACCCAGGACTCCTAACCATCACAGTCCACGTTACTGCCGGTCTGCCCAGCCCCAAGTCTAGGGAAACGGCATTTCACTTAGATTCTCAAGTCCACAAAATTTCAGTTAACTCTTTAAGAATAAAGTGATCCTCTGGTTTTTTAGCGGGCGGGAGTGGGGGGGTTGTATTTGGGTTTTCAAGACAGGGCTTCTCTGTGCAGCCTTGGCTATCCTGGAGTTTGCCCTGTAATCCAGGATGGCCTCAAACTCAGACCAGCCTGCCTCTACCTCCTGAGCACTGGGATTAAAGACGTGTACCTTACCATGCCCAGTTCTTACTGATTTTAAACCAATCCGTTCATGGTAATTACTTCTAAATGAAGGAATGAGCTTTTCTTATTTTTTTTTTTTTTACCTGGGTCCATGGGGATAGAGCCGTGGCTGCTCAACGCTGCAGCTCCCTCCTCATCTTCATCTTCACTCTCCAGCGGTGGGTCTGGCAAATGAAGCCCCAGGGCCTGCAGAACGGAGACAAGATGATGTGTGGCCAGCTTCTGGTACATTCCGTTTCACCTGCGTAGTAACCGTTCCCTCCACCATACCTGGATACGATCTTGGATGTCAGCAGCTCCGTCTTCTCCCTCACCCACTGGCGCCAGTTCCACCTCTTCTTGTTCAGGGTCTTGATTGAGGGGCTGGTACGAATAGCCTGCTGGCCCTGCTCCTGTCTCCTCCTGCTCTTCCTCGGGTTCTTCACTGCTCCAATCTCCAGTTCCTTCTGTAGGACCCTGATGTGGCCCTAAGTCCTCAGTCTGATTGGGGAAGATACGCTCAGGGCCCATGGTGTCTCCCCCTAGAACTACTGCTGCCATCCGGGCAGGGGCTGCAAGGACAGAAAGGCAGGACAGGGATTGGATGAAACCAGGTCTTTCAGACCACCCTCTCTCGCAGGTCTTGCATCTTCCTCCTGTCTCTCGTGCCTCCCTGTCTTCTTAAGTTTGGGTTCTCATATTGAGCTGGAGCACACTAATCTTTAACGTGCCGGATTCCTAAATAAATAGACAACCGGAAGGCTTCACCTCCTTCCTAAGAGACCCTTCCCAGAACCTCGCCCCCTCTCGCCACGCCTCTCCTCCGGAGGTAACTGCTGGTCGCCAGACTACCCACGATAGAGCATCCCCGCCCTTCATCCCCTCTATTCCGGGGGAGTGCAGTACCGCCTGACAAAAAACAAAAAACCCTTCAGGCCCAGGGGCTTCCCTTCAATGGCCCCAGCTACAGCGTCCCCTACCCGCCCCTACTGATTCTCGGCGTTGGTATTTCCTCGCGCCTCACCCTCTCAGAGCCCACAGCCGGACCCGCACCTTCACTTCCGGCGGGGCAGGACGTGCTGGGGCTCTTAGTCCTCCAGCCCCGCCCCGTGCCCGAGACTGACGCAAGCGAGGACGAGAAGTCCGCCTCTTGCCCCGCCTCCGCCATCCCCTGCCCGGACCACAAAGAACTACATTACCCAGTGACCCTCAGGCGCGCGTCGTGTTCTGGTGTTCGGCGCATGCGCACAACCCAACCACGCCCCATTCCCCCCCTCACCCCCACCCCCATCTCTCGGCCCTGAGGTGATTTGTGGACTACAAGTCCCTGAAGCTGTCGGGCCCAGAGTTCTCACTGCACGTGCGCGTCCCGCTGCCCGCCGGAAGGACGAAGTCTGGCAGTGTTTATCTCGTTGGGGACCGAGGAATCGGTTGGCGGGCAACGGGTTCTAGGCTGCTGGCAGCGCGAGGACCCGCGGCCCCACCCCGGCCCGGCCTGGCAGGTAGCCAGGGATGGGTTGAGGGATGAGGAAGATTGGTGGGGCTGGCGACGCCCACTGCCTAGCGCCGGGGTCGCGGGGGAGGGGCCGAGAAGGATGCGATGGGGGTGGGGAGGGAGCTAGGGGGATGCTGGGAAAGAGGAGTGTTAATGGGCCGAGAAAGGTTTGGGGAAAATGGCCTGGAGACGGGTGGGAGAGACCTGGTGGCTGCAGGAGGCGCTGAAAGAACTGGACCAGTGGGTTCTGAAGAGAATCAGGAAGCTGAGCATAATGGCAGGGGGAGGGGGCAGGGGCTGGCGGCGTGGGGGAGGGGCGGCTGCCAAAGGTGCGCTGAAACCCGAGTGCGGTCACGGTCGGAGAGCACGGCTATGGTGGGGAGGGGACACCGAGGGGTCTCCTCCCCTCGTGGACGGAGACGAGTTACAGGGTGCTAGTGCGGACCTTGGAGTGGTGGGAGAAGGAACTGCGGGACTCTCGGGAGATTCAGAAGGGAAGGGTCGCGGGCGGGGACTGAAAGTGGCAGGGAGGGGAAGCGTACGGACATCGAGGGGCTGGGAGCCTGAAAATGGCCAAGTGGTGGAAAATGCTGGAGCCCCAGAGAGGGCGTTTAACCCCTGCCTTTGAGTTATCCTTATGAGGACGATGGGAGTCTTTATCCGTCTATCCCTTGGGATTGTAGACTCATCTTTGTGCATTTTCGTTTTATCTGCGCTTACCTTCAAGGGAGAGTAAAGGCTATGAAGATGACAGGCACCCCTCCACCACATTCTTCCTTTCTTTCCTATTTTTTTCTATTGTTTTGTTTTGTTTGTTTTGAGACAAGGTCTTGTAGCTCTGGCTGATTTGGAACTTACTGTGCAGACCTACGTGGCTGGCCTTAATTACCCAGACATCCCCCTGCGTCCGTGCCCCACCACACCTGCCTTGGACTTCGATTCTTCAAGCTTGCTTTCAGTCCCCCTTCTCTGATCAGGACAGATGTAAGAGCAGGAGTAGTGAAGAGAGAGCTTAACTTTTGGCTGCGGCTATTTCAGGTTGAGCGAGATGGCTATTTAAAGCATACAGTGTAGGGTCGGGGGAGGTTGAGAGGGCAGTTGATGAAAGCCATATCTGTCCCCTTTAAGGGGACCTGCTTTGGTTGAGTAGGAAAAACCCCTACTGTTGAGGGTTTTCCTCTTTGCCAAGGCTTTTTGAACGGGAAGCCGATGTCTTCTCGCAAAGGCCTCACTAGTTGCAAAAAAGATTTACCTGAAAGAGCTCTCAAATCTCCCCATTATCACTAGGCTGGTAGGCTGTCTTTAAGAGGCCATGACTGGTCTCATGACTGGGGCTTTCTCTTGTCCTGCCCAAAGGCATTTTTGCTTTCTTTCCTCTGTCCAATCTGTACCCTCACCCCATCCCTCCTTTAGAGACCCAGACAGGGCAAGGGCTGCTGGGAGTGGCTTGTTCTCTAACAATAGTAGGGTTGGGAAGTTGAGGGAACTCTTCCCTACCCCCAACTCAGAATACACATACCTTTCTGGCTTAAGTTTCTAGTCCTGGCAGCATACGAGCCACAGCTGTCAAAGGAACTCCTCGTGCCTGTAGACACCCTGGGTGACCCCAGGGACAACGGATCAGCTTGACAAGAACCATCTGTGAGGGGCTAATCAACCATGGTTACATGGAGTTTCCTGTCCTAGGTAGGGTCACTGTTCCACTCTAAAAGCCTAAAAGCCTTTTTTTTTTTTTTACTTTAAAGCACCCATGCCAGCTTTCAGCTTTCAGTGCACTGTCTGGGGCTGGCTGGGCTATTAATAGCTGTGAGTATTTTGAGATGTCTACCTTTAAGAGATGGAGGGAAATTCTTAGAGAGGCAGCAGTAAGCAGGGCCAGAAGCAAGAACACACCCAATATGGGAAAGGGTCTTGGAGACTGGGGGCTTGGAGCTTGTTCCAAGCCAGGGATGGGTGGAGTTGACAGGAGCAGGGGGGCAGTCATGGTCACCAGATTCTGAGCTGGCAGTCAGGTTAAGGTGGCCCCACCCTTCACTGTGGGAGAACACAGGGCCAGGGCTAGCTCCTTGACCTCTGCAGCTCTCCTGGGGCAAGGCCAACCACCTGAGCTGTGACTAGTGTTCCTGTAGAGGGGTGGTGTGGGAGGGCCACTGGGGTGGCACTTGGAGGCAGAGACTAGCCCTGGGTAGCCACATTGAACTGGACAGAAGCCTCTCGTGAGGAACTTGTGGCCCTGACTTGTATACAGGTAGCAGAGGCAGCAGGCCGTGCCGGGGGGGCATGTTCCTGTAACCTGTGGCCCAGGGGATGTTACGGTGGACAGTGCATCTGGAGGGCGGGCCACGCAGGGTGAACCATGCTGCAGTGGCTGTCGGGCATCGAGTGTACTCCTTCGGGGGTTACTGCTCTGGTGAAGACTACGAAACACTACGGCAGATCGATGTGCACATTTTCAATGCTGGTAAGCTAGTCTTCATACCTTTCTGGAGTTTCTACATCAGGGGAGTTAGTGGGCATCTGAATGAAGTTTGTTGGTGGTCTGTACGGCAAGGGGTTGGGTAAGAATGTATGGTTTGGGACAAGGTGGCAGCCTGAGAGGAGGTTCCCAGGGCTGAGCAGAGCTGTGTCCACAGTGTCCTTGCGTTGGACAAAGCTGCCCCCAGTGAGGCCTGCTGTCCGAGGGCAGGCTCCTGTCGTACCTTACATGCGGTATGGACACTCCACCGTCCTCATTGACGACACAGTCTTCCTTTGGGGTGGGCGCAATGACACCGAAGGGGCCTGCAACGTACTCTATGCCTTTGATGTCAGTGAGTATGGGTCTCAAATGACACCTTGGGCCTGTGACAGGGGTGGTTGTGGGGATTGCTGGCGAAGGGAAGGCCCAAATTGAGGCTGGTGTGTCAGCTGACCTGTGTCATTTCTTACTTCTCTCAAAAGATACTCACAAGTGGTCTACACCCCGAGTGTCAGGAACGGTTCCTGGTGCCCGGGATGGACATTCAGCTTGTGTCCTGGGCAAGATCATGTACATTTTTGGGGGATATGAACAGCTGGTAAGTCTGGAAAAAAACTAGTTTTATGTCAAAAGGAAGAAAAGAGAAAGAGAAATTTAGCATGGTGGAACAGGAGGCTTTTAAGTGGAAGGATAAAGGGTCCTAGAGTAACCATTGACACTAAGTGACAGGATAGAGGGTCCCAGAGTAACCATTGACACTAAGTGACAGGATAGAGGGTCCTAGAGTAACCATTGACACTAAGTGACAGGATAGAGGGTCCCAGAGTAACCATTGACACTAAGTGACAGGATAGAGGGTCCCAGAGTATCCATTGACACCAAGTGACAGGATAGAGGGTCACAGAGTATCCATTGACACTAAGTGACAGGATAGAGGGTCACAGAGTATCCATTGACACTAAGTGACAGGATAGAGGGTCACAGAGTATCCATTGACACTAAGTGACAGGATAGAGGGTCACAGAGTATCCATTGACGCTAAGTGACAGAATAGAGGGTCACAGAGTAACCATTGACACCAGTTTTCTACCTTCCATCACTCAGGCTGACTGCTTTTCCAATGACATCCACAAGCTGGATACCAGCACCATGACATGGACCCTTGTTTGTACAAAGGTCTGTTCTTTGTTCTGTCAGATTCCACCCCCACCCCTCTACCCCCCTCTGAAATCCTAGAAAGCTCAGTGAGTTTCCCTACCGGAGCCCATGCTGACTCCCTCCCCCACCTCTCTGCTCTTGGCTAGGGCAATCCTGCACGTTGGAGGGACTTCCACTCAGCCACAATGCTGGGCAGCCACATGTATGTCTTCGGGGGCCGTGCTGACCGCTTTGGGCCATTTCATTCCAACAATGAGATCTACTGTAATCGGATTCGAGTCTTTGACACCAGAACCGAGGCCTGGCTCGACTGTCCACACACGCCAGTGCTGCCCGAGGGGCGCAGGAGCCATTCGGCCTGTGAGTGTCTGCTGGTTTTTTGTGGATGTCCCTCTACAACCCCATTCTCTTGACATGTGTCTGCCCTTCCAGTTGGCTACAATGGAGAGCTGTACATCTTTGGTGGCTATAATGCACGGCTGAATCGGCATTTTCATGACCTCTGGAAGTTTAATCCTGGTAAAGAGCATTACCTTTAGGGGAGGGACAAGGAACAGTTGAGGTGTGGGGAGAATAACCCTGAGGAAGTGGCGGGTTGGAGTGGTGTGTGCAGATGTCTTGGTTGGCCAGGTATTGAACCTCTAGGAACTTCTCTTTAGGGTCCTTTACCTGGAAGAAGATTGAACCAAAGGGGAAAGGACCGTGTCCCCGCCGACGCCAGTGTTGCTGTATTGTTGGTGATAAGATTGTCCTCTTTGGGGGTACCAGGTTAGGAGAGAAGGGGGGGACAGACTCGGGAAAGGGACTGTCTGTAACATCAGTGGGGGGCATCTGAGTGAGGGTCTGTGGGTAGTTGGAGCACCTACTTCTTCCTCTTCCCGTCCCTGCAGCCCGTCTCCCGAGGAAGGCCTGGGGGATGAATTCGACCTCATAGACCATTCTGACTTACACATCTTGGACTTTAGTAAGTACTTATTTCTCAGGTGCTTCTACTATCAGGTTCTCTGTCTCTGGGTGGTGACCAGGATAGGTCCTTTCCCTGCTCTGACTGTCCTCCAACTCCTCCATTAAAGGTCCTAGTCTGAAGACTCTGTGCAAACTGGCCGTGATTCAGTATAACCTGGACCAGTCCTGTCTGCCCCATGACATCAGGTAAAGCAGGTGCTTGCAGAGGAGTTGATGGAGGGTGAGTGGCCAGCACAGGTGTGACCTGAATAGCTAGAGCTCCACATGCAGAAGCAGACACTGCTATCTGCTGGGATTGTGAGGAACAAGGAGGGAGGTAAAGGTGCAGCTATCACGTGACAGTTGTCAGCTCTGTCAGAAAACGTTCTGAATTTTTTGAGCCATGCTTAGAAGCTCTGCTTCCTTGTGTAGTTTTATTTGTTTTGTTTTGGTGATGTATTTTGAGAGTGACTAAATTTCAGGGTTGACTACAAAGTAGAAAGTTGAAGAGTTTCTGGACTCCTTAGGTCAGTAATGGAGAGTGGTTTCTATTTCATGCCTGTTAATTCAAGTACTGAGTTCAAATAAAGCACCAAATGTCACTCCATGTACCATTTTCTCCTCTTGGTCATTCTGAGACACTCCCTCCTCCTCGAGCCAGGTTGGTTTAATTCTTGCTTGCTAAGGTCTCTGTGTCCTTTGGTGACAGAGTACACAGCTTAGGGTCTTGGTATAAGGACTTCTTAAGTCTTTGTAAAATGAAAGTATCATAGAAAGCATAATTTAATTGGTGGGGTGGATGGGAAAGTCTTTAGGCCCTGAAGTTTAGGGAGAACAGGAGGTCTGAATCAGGGCCTTAAAATCAGGGGAATTGGCAGCAAGGGATGGGTGCTCTGGTGGGGGTGAGGGGGAAGTGCTGCCTGGCTGCCTTCAGGGCAGGAGAGGGATGCCGCTGTGCTGACTGAAATGGGTACACATAACCCAGGTGCTTAGATTCAGAGATCTATATGAACATAAACAGGAAATCCCACAGAGCCCGGAGGTGGCTGAGTAGGTGGTAGTAGATGTAGTGGTGGGTGGACCTGGTGATTAAACCCAGAAGGGCTGTGAGGCAGAGGAAGCCGTGGGAGATTGGAGCTGCTGTGTTCCCAGCTTTGTTCAGAGAATTCTGGGCTTGTCATAGAGCCCACTCTTGTGTCTTCTCTGCCCACTGTTGGCCTTTCTAGGTGGGAGCTGACCGCCATGACCACCAACAGCAATATCAGCCGCCCCATTGTCTCCTCCCACGGATAGGAAGAAGCTCCTGCCGCCTCCCCTCCTGAGCCTGCTCCTGTCGTCACTGCCCCTGCCCGTCTCACCCGCCTGCCCCTTTGGACCCTGGACTCAGTATACCTCCACGTGGAGTTGATGGACTAGGGGTGTCTTCTGCGCTGTGAATTCAGTGGGGAGCTGTTGGGGGAGGGCTTTCCCCGCCCCCCTGGGCCGAGGGCCCCTTCCCTTGGTGCTCTGTCCCCATCCACCTCCCTCCACGGCTCCTGGGCCTTTGCTCTGCCCCGGGCCGGCTGGGCAGCCAGGCTGTGCCGGGAAGGGACAGGAGTGGGGAGAAGAAGCCAGCAGTGTCGGAGCCTCGGGAGCTCCCCTCTCCCCGTGACCACCCTCTCCCTGCTTGAGCATCGCCCGGGAGCTGAGGAGCCTCGGCTGTCGGCATGACACCCCCTCCCCAACGCGCGGTGGTGGGGACCAACAGACAGCTTCGCCCTTCCTTGAGCTGCTGCTGTACCCCGGAGCTCAGCCAGCTCTGACTTTATAAAACGTAAAACCTCCAGACGTGTCCTGTTTCTGGCGACTACGGTAGAGGGGCGGAGGCAAAGGGGCCGCCCTTAAGGTTCTGGCTCCGCGGCCAAACCTCTGAGGAACTCCACGCCGCGGAGCCTGGCAGCGCTCCGGAGCCCTACCCGCCGTGGACTGGAGTCCGCCGGCTGCGGGGCGGGGCTCCGGCAGAGCCCTCGGCACATTGGCTCAGGCTTCCGGAAGGGGTGGGACTTGGGCGCTCACAGCGAGCGGAAGTGCAATTTATCAGCCGGACTACACAAAACATGCCGAAAGCTGTTTCTAGTGCTAAGGCCGGGGCCGAAGGTCCCCGCAGCGCCATGAAGGGTGGGGATGCGACTGGCGACCGGCCGAAGGGTGAGGGCCTCAGGCTGGGAGAGCGCGGGGCTTTTGGCTGCGGGAACGGAAAGCCGCTCTGAGCGCCGCAGTTCAGCGGAGACGGGAGCGAGTGCTTCCGGCGTGACGGCTTCGGGAGAAGTTTCGTGGTTTGGTTTTCAGACCGTGGCGGTGGAGGGGGTGAGGGGTACGGGGAGGGGTGTCTCACAGTGTGGCCCAGGCCAGTTTCGGATTCTTGGCACTCTGCCTCAGCCCCAAGTGCTGGGATTATAGGTATAACTCGCCAGGCCTGGGCATATTCCTAAAGGTAGGAGTCAGGTTCTTCCTAGGTGTAGTATGGCAGGGTGCAACAAACAGAGCTGTATGCATGCACCTGGAAATAAAGAATACTCAAACAGCAAAGCAAAAGGTTCGTCGTCGTCCTACTTACCTCTAAGAACCTATTTAGCCAGACACGTTAGCACACGCCTTTCCAGCACTCAGGAGGCAGAGGCAACCGGATTCCTGGGCACTCCAAAGCAGCGTAGTCTACGTATTCCGGTGGTTCTCGACTTTCCTAATGCTGTGACATTGGTGATCCCGAACTATAAAGTTATTTTTTTGATACTTCATAGCTGTGGTTTTGGCTACTGTTATGAATGGTAATGTAAACACCTGTGTTTTGGATGGTCTTAGACAACCTCTTTGAACGAGTCTTTGGACACCTTCCCCAAAGGAGTTGAGACTCACAGGTTGAGAACCATTGACATAGTGAGTTCCCAAGCTAGCTGAGGAGAAATGGATACCACTGGAGAGCAGAGAGTTCAGAATAACATGAGAATTACCGAGGGGAGTGATAATCACATTCCTTCCTAGTATGCAAAAATAAATGGGCTCTGGCCAGGCGGTGGCGCACACCTTTAATCCCAGAGTTCTAGAAGCAGAGGCAGGCAGATCTCTGAGTTCGAGGCCAGCCTGGTCTAGAGAGGAAGTTCCAGGAGAGCCGGGGCTACACAGAGATCCTGTCTAGCACTATTACAGGGTAGCAGCTTTGCAACCTGTGCTGTCTAGGAGGTAATGATGGCGGCTGTGATGGAGAATGTTGGAAAGGATGGTCTTTGCCATGTATCTGATGTGTGTGTGTGTGTGTGTGTGTGTAATGTATATGTTACCATGAGGATTTGGAGAGCAGAGGACAACTTTTGTCTGTCTGTTCCCTCTCTAAGCCAGGTCACTCCAGGCTCTAACTTGGTGATCCAGTCCTTTTCTCATCTGATACACCTAGCCGAATGAAGCCTGTCCTGCAGTGGAGAGGTACTGACCGAAGTTGTGTGACCTTTTCCTCCAGCAGACACATCCGACATGTCATTTGAGGAGCTGTTGAGATTACAGAGTCAAGTAGGACCCAAGGCATACAAACAGTTGGTAGCTGGAAACAGTACTAAAACTCGAAGCCCCAGACAACCTGTGTGCGTCGCCGATAAGCACCGGTGAGGACGAAAGCATGCCCACAGGGTTAAAAGATACCCAGGACCTTGACTAGATGTCTGTTTCCTTGAGTGGCTTGACTCCAGTCTTTCCCCAAGACTGTAGTGCCCTTGCCCTGACCTTTCATTTCTCCTTAGGCCTCTGGAAATGTCAGCCAAAGTCCGGGTACCATTCTTACGTCAGGTGGTCCCCGTCAGTAAAAAGGTGAGGGAAGAGCAGGGAACGAGAACTTCCTCAGGGAAGGGAGACTGAACAAGAGGTTTATATCCTCTCTCTGTTTTCCAAAGGTCGCCCGAGACCCCCGCTTTGATGATCTGTCAGGGGACTATAACCCTGAAGTGTTTGACAAAACTTACCAGTTCCTGAATGATATTCGAGCCAAGGAGAAACAGGTATGTAGTAAGAAGCTGCGCTATCTATGCCTGGAGGGTGGGAACCGCCTGCATGTCGGCTAGACTGGAAGAGGAGGCAGGAAGGGTGTGTTGGGGCCAGATCTTTGGCTGTTAGTCGGTTCATCCGTTTTGTGGCTGTGGTCAAGTTGCTTCGCCCCCTTTGCTTCAGTTATTTTTAAAATGAATCTGCTTTTTAAGTTGAATCTACTTTTTAGGTTGATGTCATTCCTAACATCTGTGGGGTAGGATATCATGTCAATACATGTCTTTAAAGTATAATGACCAAGGTAACTGATAGCTGTCGCCTCTCACATAGTCATTGCTTCATGCTGGGAACTGTCAAAATCCTCTCACTGGTTATTTTGTAATACTCAATTAAGCTAGGCATAGTAGCACATATCTATAATCCATAATCCAGCTACTGTGGGAAGCGAGACAGGAAGGTAGAGAATTTGAAGCTACCCCAGCCAAGATTAAACAGAATATGAGATTTAGTTACTTGTCAACCATAGTTATTTGGTGTCCTATTAAACCTTGGGAATCTTCCTTCCTGTCCAGCTGCACCCCTCTGCCTGTTAACTCACTCTCTACCTATCCAGCCCTTCCCACAGCCTGCGCAGATTCCTGTAGCTATAGCCAGTGTTCTGCATTTTAAATCAACTGTGACTTTTCTGTATAAGAACATATGATAACTGTCTTTCTGTTCCTGACGGATTACGCTCAGCATACTGTTGCTTCAGTAGTTATTGGTTTAGAGTGTGTAGGTCTGCGTGTGTCACCCCTTGAGTGTTGTCGGTCAGGATAACTTACTAAGTGTGGGCTCTTTCCTTCATCTCTGGGTTCCAGGTTCAAGGCAGGCCATCGGCCTGTGTGGCAAGTACCCTTTCTCACTGAGCTGTTTGACTAGTTTTGCTTTGGTTGGGTTGGTTTTCTTCCTGTTCTTTCTTTCTTTCTTTTCTTCCTTCTTTCCTTCTTAGTGTTTTTGACAGTAGCTCTGGCTGTCCTAGAACCACACTTGGCTGCTTGAGTTTTCTAACCATGAGAAGGATAAAAAGGTCTAGGTGGTGATGGTCCACACCTTTAATTCCAGCACTCGGGAGGCAGAGGCAGGCAGATCTCTGTGACTCGGAGGCCAGCCTGGACAACAGGGTGAGCTCCAGGATAGCCAGGGCCAGGGCTACACAGAGAAAGCCTGTCTCGGGGGAGGGGGAGGGTGGGAGAAGGATAAAAAGGAGCTGGGTGGTAGTGGCACCCTTGGGAGACAGAGGAAGGCATATCTGTGAGTTCAAGGCTAGCTTGGTTTACAGAGCAAGTTAGTTCCAGGACAGCCAGGACTGTACAGCGAAACCTTTTCTCAAAAAAATGTAGAACACACACATATACATGTCCTCTCTCTCTCTCTCTCTCTCTCTCTCTCTCTCTCTCTCTCTCTCACACACACACACACACACATATACATGTCCTCTCTCTCTCTCTCTCTCTCTCTCACACACACACACACACACACACACACACACACACACACACACACACGGCTTAGTGGCTAAGAGTATGCAAGCATGAAGGCCTGAGTCAAAGTTTCCAAAACCCATGTGAACAGCCTGACGTGTCGTTGTGTGTGCCTTTACCACAGGGCCTCTGCCCATTTGAATGTGCGTGCACACATAGACCCACACAATTATTTGTATGTGTGTGTGTGTGTGTGAGAGAGAGAGAGAGAGAGAGAGAGAGAGAGAGAGAGAGAGAGAGACAACCAAGTGGCTACTAACAAGGTGAAGAGCTGAAGCTATAGCTCAGTGTTAGCATATGTGTTTAGTACTGTGCTAAATCCTCAGACACCCAGCACCGGACACATTGTGTATTGTTTTCCTGTTAGCTTACATGAACCTTTCCCAACAGTGCACATCAGAGAGTGTTAACCGTGTTATTCATTTTCCAACATGCAGCTTGTGAGAAAGCAGTTGAAGAAGCACCGCTCAGGGGAGGAGCACGAGAAGCTGCAGCAGCTGCTTCAGCGGATGGTGAGTGGCCACTGGTTGCAGGCGGGGTGATTGAGAGCCCCTGAAGGTCAGTCGCTCACCCTCCCCACCTCACCTCTGCCCTCAGGAGCAGCAAGAGATGGCCCAGCAGGAGCGCAAGCAGCAGCAGGAGCTGCGCCTGGCCCTGAAGCAGGAGCAGCGGGCTCGGGCCCAGCAGGGCCATCGGCCGTACTTCCTGAAGAAATGTGAGTGGGGCAGAGCTCTAGAAAGCCTGGTGGACAGGCTTGTGGCTGGGTGCTGTCCTGGGACCTGGAGGAAAGTAGAAATAGCAGGGAAGCAGTGTCTTGTGACCAGCCTTTATCTCTAGTTAGACGGTGTCGTCGGGGAGGCTGGGGTAGAGCTTAGTTGGTGGAGTGCTTGCAGGAAGCCCTCGCTCTGATCCTAGCATCACGTAAAACAAGAAGAGTGCCATATGCCTGCAGGAGAGCGAGGACAGGGGGATGGGAAGGTGAAGGCTGTCCTCGGATACATGAAAGGGAGGGAGGGAGAGAGGGAGAGAGCGTGTCAATGACTGTCATGGTTGTCTCCACTCACCTGCTTGTCCAGGCACAAAGGAGCCCACCCACACTTGGTTTAGTTGAGTAAGACTTGAATCACAAAAAGTTAGCTTAGCTGTAAAGATGGCTTACCCGTTAAGAGCCTGGACTGTTCTTCCAAAGGTCCTGAGTTCGAATCCCAGCAACCGCATGGTGGCTCACAACCGTCTGTAACGGGGTCTGACGCCCTCTTCTGGTGGGTTTAGAGACAGTGTATTCACATACAGAAAATCCTTTAGTCCTATCACTTGGGAGGCAGAGGCAGGCAGATCTCTGAGTTTGTGGCCAACCTGGTCTACATAGTGAGTTCCAAGTCAGACAAGGCTACAAAGTAAGACCTACCTCAAAGAAAAGCAAGTTAGCAAAACTTTCAACCTTCAAGTACCTCTTAGGGAGAAGTACTTGATAGCTCAGTGTAGCACACCTGCCTAAAGTGAGCAAAGCCCTGGATTTAGTTTCTAGCACTTGGCGGGGGTGGGGAGGGTGGGGGGGGCAGGGCAGCTTACCGGACTGGTGCTGTAGCTCCTTGGTAGAGCCCTTGCCACACAGAGTTGTGTGAGCAGCAGCAGCACATACAACACGATGTGTCTATTCCTCACACACCAGTGAGCTCCCAACAGTGAGGCCCAGAATAAGGGGTTCCTGTCGGATCAATAAATGAGGCCATCACCCCTTGCTTACCAGATTGCTTGCTTCTTGTGTAGCTGAGCAGCGCCAGCTGGCCCTAGCTGAGAAGTTCAAGGAGCTGAAACGCAGCCAGAAGCTGGAGAGTTTCGTGAGTCGAAAGAGGCGCCGAAATGCAGGCAAGGACAGGAGGCATCTCCCTCCGAGCAAGGAGTCGTAAGGAACCATCCCAGGAGACCTGGATCTGTGGGATGAATCTGGGTTGGCCAGTTCTGGTTCTTTCCTGCTCAAAGGCAAGACAGCTACCACTCATCTAGGCTGACTCAGAAGACGGGGGTGCTCTCGGACTGCACTAGGGCTGCCCAGCAGCAGGGCCTCAGCCTTCTGTATCACACCGCCTTTCTGGAATCTGGTCCGTAAACATCTGCTGTCTTGTGTTCTCATCCCAGCCTTGCCTTAAGCCAGTGACTCAAATGAAGAAGGGTGTGGCCTGTCGTCACGTGAGCTTTCAGAGCAGGGACTTTACCTAAGAGCCACTTTGGAAACATGCTTGGTATTCCTTGTTTTATTCTGTTTTGTTGTTGTTTGGCTTTTCAAGATGGGGTTTGTCTACAGCCCTGGCTGTCCTGGAACTCCCTCTGTAGACCAGGGTGGCCTCAAACTCACAGAGATCTGCCTGCCTCTGCCTCTTGAGTGCCAGGACTCAAGGTGTGCATCACCACTGGCTGGCCTGTCTTGTTGTTGTATTTGTTTGTTGTTTTTCAGTTGTGGGTATATGTCTGTGTGTGGGTGTGTGCACGTGAGCACAGGCATCTTCAGGGAAGCATTGACTTCCCCGTGGAGCTGAAGTCACAGTGCTTGTGAGCTGTCCATGCAGGTGCTGGGGACCAAGCTCGAGTCCTCTGCCAGAACAGAGCACACTTAATCTCTGAGCTATCTCTACAGCCCGTTTTTGTTTTTAATGGGAGACCTAGAACTATTATTTCAGTGTGCCACGTATGTGGGGGGTCTCAAGTGTGAGAAGTCAGATCACAGGGCCCTCCATGTTAAATCTGGGCCCTGAAAAGATGTCTAAAGGGTGAATCAGCCCTACAGTGGGTAGTGTGGGACGTGGGAGATAGGGTGTTAGTCAGGGCATTGCTAGTGTATCCCTGGGAGGCTTCACTCCATGGCCTCCCTCGCTTCTGGGCCCATATGTAGTAAGGCGGAGCCTTTGCTACAGCAGTGTGTCTTGCTTCCTGTTAGGATTATAAGTGTGTGCCATCAAACACATCCTCGGGACATTCTGTATAAAGGACGTCACTGTGATCGTATGTGTGTGTCTTGGTTAGCTTTTTACTGCTGTGATTAAACACCACAACCAAAAACAGTCTGGGGAGGAAAAGGTTTATCTCATCTTACAGCTTGTAGTCCATCATGAAGGGAAGTCAGGAGAAGAAGGGACTGAATAGAGGCCGGGAGGACCTCTGCCTACTGGCTTGCTCCCCTCAGCTTGTATCATCTTCTTTCCTCCCTTCCTTCCTTCCTTCCTTCCTTCCTTCCTTCCTTCCTTCCTTCCTTCCTTCCTTCCTTCCTTCCTTCCTTCCTTCCTTTCTTTTTAAAAAAGTTTGACAGGACATGGTTTCTCTGTATCCTGGAATTCACTCTGTAGACCAGGCTGTCCTCAATCTGCCTGCTTCTGCCTCCCAAGTACTAGGATTAAAGGTGTGTGCCACCAGTGCCTGGCTTCAGCCTGCTTTCTTACCTCACCCAGACTACCTTCCCAGAAGTGGTACCACCCACAGTGACCTGGGTCCTCTGAGGTCAGCCACCAGTCAAGAGAGTGTCCAACAGATTTACCTAAAGACCAACTCTGTAGAAATATGCTCTCAATTAAGATTTCTTCTTCGTTACGGAAAAAAGAAAAAAAGATTTCTTCTTCGCAGATGACCCTGCCTGTGTCAAGTCCACATAACAAGTAGCCAGTTCAGTGTGTGTTCCTTGTAAGACTCAGAATAGATTGTTTTCTTCAATTGAGATTTTCATATGAGAATGGTTAGCTAGGATTTGTTTTTATTTTATGTGTATGGGTGGGGAATTTGTTTTCTTAATGATGAATGAGCTGAGAATTTTATTTCTTAAATTTTAAAATTATTTTATTTTGGGCTGATGGGTCGGTGTTTAAGAGCACTGACTGCTCTTCCAGAGGTCCTGAGTTCAATTCCCAGCAACCGCATGGTGGCTCACAATCATCTGTAATGGGATTTGATGCCCTCTTCTGGTGTGTCTGAAGAGAGTAACAGTGTACTCATATACATAAAATAAATAAATACCATTTTATTTTATAAGTGTGGGTATTTTGCCTGCATGTATGGTTGTGTACCTGGGAGCTCAGAGGCCACAGAGGGCACCAGACCCACTGGAGCTAGAGTTAGGGTGACTGTGAGCTGCCATATGCCTGCCACTTGCTGAGGTGGGTACATGCCATACTCTTGTAATCCCAGTATTGGGAGGATGAAATGAATTTGACGTCAGATCAGAATCCATAAGTTCTAAGACAGCCTGAACTAACATTTCAAGGTCATGTCCAAAATACCAAAAGTATGACTTGGGCCACTAAAAAGCTGTGGCCTCTGCTGTGAAGCAGGGAGATCTCCTAGGTATACCCCCATGTACCCTGAGGCCATGCACATTCTGGCCTGAGTGCTGGCCTTTCTAGCACTTAAGACCGAAGGTATCGTGGGACCAGTGGAGCACAGCCAGCCCTCCCGCCCTGCAGAGCTTCTCTCCCTCACTCCCATGCCTCCCGTTGTTTTCTTCTGAACTCCCTTACTCTCGCAAACCCTGCCCTCCTTTCCCCTCCTCTACTCCAGGTCTGTTCTGGGTGGCCTCCAGTGCCTTCAGTTGGCCTTTGTGCCCTCCTCACCACTTCCTGTTTGCCCTCTTCCCGGTTCTGTTGGGTTTTCTCGTTACTGGTGCGCTTCAGGGACCAAGACTGTTTCCTCCTATACCCCTGCTGAAACGAGAGTGCTCCTGGCACTGGGTTTTCTAGACGGTTCTACCCTGGTTCATGGCAGCCAGTCCTCTAGCACAGCCTCAGCTAAGCAGCAGGGCTAGCTGCCTGGGGCTAGCGGGAGGTGGGAACCCAAGGACACTGTGCAGCTATACTTGACTGGAGGGGAAGGCTAAGGGGTGACAGCAACGTGGAGCAGCTGGTGAGGCAAAGAGAAGCCACGATTCCTTCGAGGACTGTTCGCAGCCCAGGTCCTTCAGTGGAAGGGAGTCATGCTTTGGGTGCTTGCAGAGACGTCTTCCCTTGTCACCTTTACTCAGGGTCGCCCCCAGTGAGGGCAGTTAGCACTGGGAGTGGTGGCTGAAACAGACACGGACTGACTGGTCACTTCCTAGTCACTCCTCTCCAGCTCTACACGAGGGAAAAGATGTCCTGTTTGGTAACCGGCCCAAACTGCAAAGAATACGGCCAAGTGGACTTGTGTGTTCAGCCTGCCCGGTCAGAGACCTAACCACACCCTCCGAGGAGGGACTGAGATCTAGTCCTGGCTGTTGACCCCACTGCCTGGACACACCTGATATTTCCTTCGCTTTCTAACCCAGACCTTGACAAAACTGTTGTGTCAGGAGACTGCCTCCAAGCCAGAGGCCTCCTTCCTCATCAGCTGGGCCCCCGCACCCTATTTAATGATCTCTAGGAGCCCATACAGGTCATGACTTCAAATCACCGTGTTTTATTTTCTGTAGAAAGCCCCAGCCTCACCTACCCCACACCCCATATCCAGGGCTACCGGAAAGTGGAGAAGGTCTGGGTGCCAGTGCAGGAAGCATAAGGCACACCCCGGGATCGAATCTGCAGGGTGTGGAAGGTGAGGGGTGGATTGGGGCCTGTCGAGCCAGGGTTCAGGGACTCCGTGTGGGGTTCCATCACAGTTATAGGGACCGCATAAAACAGCATCTGTGGCCGGTCGTCATGGCGTCTCAGTGTGCCCTTGCCCAGGAGGTGCAGGATACAGGAGAGGACATCAGAGCTCCTGCACTCCGCTCCCCTGCCGAGGCTGCTGACCAGACCCCTAGGAGGGCATGGGCCTTTCTCCCAAGCTTCTAGCACCTGATACCAAGATCAGAAGGAAATGACAGGTCAAAACCACAGCACTTACCAAGGTCTGTCTTTCATGTTAGTCACACACTCTGGGACTGGAAGTCCCTAGCACAGCAAGTGCAGCCCAACCGCATCTGTCACACACTGAGAGGCTACACAGCGAGTTAGATGCTTCAAATATGAGCTTACCACACCCTATGGGCGTCACCCCCTATGGGCATCAGCCCCTATGGGCACCACCCCTTAGGCTTCCCCACCACTGCCTACCAGATAGACCAGCCGGTCAATGTGCAAGCCTTCATCCCCATGAGCCTTGAGGATTCGGACAACAAGGCAGTTTAGGAGGTTCTGTCTCTTCTCCATGTTCCGGCCCTCTTCATCCTCAGCTTTCAGGTATGCCTGAGGTGGGATCAGCCACACGTTGCCCCTCCTTGGCCTGGGTTCCTCACTGTCATCTCGAATCTTGAGCACTCCTGAAAGGAACATTGGTCACTTGCCTGGGGGAGGGCCTGGAGAAGCTGGTCTCTGGTCAGCAGTCTTTGCTTCTCTGGCCCTGAGTGCATACCTCCTGGTATGTTTTTCTGCTCCTGAAGGTCCAAGGGACCTCTTGATGAGGTGAGAGGTCCGATTGCCCTGTTAAGCACTTCTGGAGAGAGCTCTGAGAGAGCCTGCAGACTCTCAACACTCACCGCCTTAGAAGAGATACAAAGCGTTTAGGTCCTCCCCAGGGGTGAGCTGGGGAGGACGGAGACAAGAGAACAGAAGATGGGTGACAATGTGATTAGACGGGACAGGCCACCTTCTGATTGTTGAGGTGCAGCAGTATCCACATCTGTACTGTGGACACATGCAGAATCTGATCGCCAAACTGCACTTCTGCCCGGCCCTGCCACGTCCACTGGAGTCGCCTCTGTGGCTCTTTCTCCAAGCTCGAGTGGCTCCGACCTAGAGAAATGCCAGGTGAAGGGTGGGAGAAAGGGGAGGAGGGGGCACACTCGTCAGTCAAGCTTTGCTTGCTGGTCTCTGCAGTGGACAGCCCCAGGCAGAACATCCAGGCACCGTGGCTTCTGAGCTCAACATTCCTAAAAAGCCTCGGGTATCAAGGAGCCAGTCTGTGCCAAGCAGGCTGCAGCCATGCCCTCTTTATGCAGAGACAGAATCGAGTCAGGAAGGCTTGCCTTCCCTTCCTGCTTGTCTGGGGACTCCTGAGGGGGGGGGGCTCTGCTCTTCACCTGCTCTTTTCGCCCAGGCTAGAATCTGATGTCTGGTGAATACTTTTGAAACAACATGTGACCAATCAGGAAGGAATCTCACACCCATTCTTTCTGTTTTCTGAGAGGGTCTCTCTGTGTATCTCTGACAGACCTACACTATGCAGATCAGGCTAGACTCAAAACTCTTAAAGATCCAATTGACTGCCTCCAGGGTTCTGACTGAGATCGGTGGTGTACTCAACCATGCCTGGCCACACCCCCACC